CAGGTGTATATGAAAATGTGTTAAGTTTAATAACGGAACCTTTAGTGACGTTGTTTAGTGAATGGGTTTCTACTAAATTTGTAGGGAGGATAATGATATTTACTGAACGTGAATTTCGTCTATGAGGTAGGCAAATTATGGATTTAAATAATTCGAATTTCAACTTGACAATGATTAATACGATATCGAATCTTTGACTTGGTCGAGTTCTTTCACTAGTTGGTTTGCCAGTTGTTGTCCTTCCTTTGTGATTTCTTCCCAAATAGAGTCGTCTTCTTGTTGATATGATATTAAGTTAATTGTATCGTGATAGTGACTTACAAGTTCCAATTCAGCATTGATTCTCTCGATTTCAAATTTGCCTTTTAATCCTCCACTGAACTCGATGGTTTTGAGTGTGATTCCATTAGTCTTATAAGGCTACCAGTAATTGCTACTGGTACCAAAGTGCTACCAGTAATTGCCCAATTTCCCTCCTAGCTATTACATCATTACTTTGCAGTAGCATTTCTGCAGGCAGAGTAGGATAACTTCCGGAATCTCAATCAAATATAGTAAGTTATTTCTATTCTGGCAGCTTCTTTGACAGGTTACCTTGAGTAATTGGATGAATTCTCGTCTGAGAGAAGCAAAGATATATTGAAACTTCACTTATGAATTATGTGAAATGTTACTAAATGAATAATGATATTAGTAAATTTTGATTTCAGTGCTGCATTCCGGAATATAGGATTGATGGTTTATTTAACCCACTTGTCGAAAAGGACTTCTTTCGGCTTCGCCGACAGAAGCTGGTGGGTATGTTTGGGATATTTGAAAGAGCATGATCCAAATTGTGTTTACAACCTATTGTCAAAGTCATTATCTAATTGATCGGGCGGAATGCTGATGCAGCTCTAACCGACAACAATCCAGAATGACAAATTAATCCTCTGATGGAAAATTCACTAATGACATCATATTGGTATAAGCAAGATTTAAATGCAATTGTTCATGATTAGAGCAAGCAAACTACCTCATCAAAGCGTTTATCAAAACTGGCTAAAGATATTTTTTGATATTCTCGAAATTTTGTCAAGAAATGCAAGTATCCGTTAAATATGCCAAAGTTTCAATGGAAAGTCTTTTTATATGAACCCTGCAATAAGTCATACAAGACTCATCGAAAAGTAGTAACTTTTTTTTCTCGAAAACATATTTTGTCGTGTATTCTCCTCAATTTCAAGTAAAAGCTATATTTTTAATACACAAATTAGCTGTACTGTCAATCTTATTCAACAAGTTGCTAACAATCAGGTATAAAAAGAGACTTATTATCCGAATGATTTTGTTGACCCAATGAACATTGACCGTGATGATTTCGTATATCTGCAAAAATATGCCTCAACTTGCGGATCTTCTTCTTTGGCCTAGAATGAACATTTCCTAGATATCACCTCACTGAATCAAACGAACTGAGCAGTTAATGGCCATTTGGTTACATAGATCGAATGACGTACTTTTTTTTTCATTCATTTTTCATTCTTCCTCTGCTAAAAAACCGGCGAAAGCGTAGAAAAGAATGCAATAGAACATTCGTTTCCCTATTGGCATTTTTTCAGTTTTTTTAAAACATCAATGATGGCCTTATTGTCACTATTGTCATCACCATTTCAATTCATCGGACTGCAAGGGCGCTAATTGCTTAAATTCTGTCACTCCGTTTATTGCCGCGTCGGTAACTGCCAAACACCAACCGCGAGAAATGATAAGCAGCTATTTACTGAGGTTAGAAAAATATTGCAGTAAGTATTGAATTTTGAATTGCTATTTCATTGTCACAAATGCTTTGCAATGCATTTTCACGTGAATAAATACGTTGCGAGACATCTTTTGCTAAATGGAAACTTTGTGGAACTTACGACTACCTCCGTGACATCGTTGCTGATGTATTCGTAGGGTGCGGTTGCGAGGAAAGAGATAGCCACAATTTTCACATTGAGGTCTAGGTTGATGTATATTATGATGCTGTTGAAGTGCCGATCGGGAACAGAATTTCATTTCACATCCGAGCCAAGTGCAGTTATATT